ACCGCCCGGGAGGTTTGATACGTACATAGAAATCGATATAATTTCGACGAGAGTTCATTTCTCGATTATGTAAATACGGGAAATAGAGATCTTTCGGAGAGATACTTTCGATGAGAACGTAAGATGCACTTTTTCTCTCGTATATACAACACGTGAGATCGACGTCGTCGAAATTCTAACGGCTTCGATGCATCTATTAATCGCTTTGTTATAGATGTTGCAAGATCGACCATCACAGTGACGGTCAGATGACACATCGATAAAATGCATCGATTGTTAGAAACTCAGAGCTAGTATTTCCATGTCTCTCACAAAGGCTAAGCTTCGTCTTGAAAACGATAATAATAATAATAATAATAAAATCTTGCTTTTAAATAAATTTGGAAACAGCAGTAAAGTCTGGGAAAGCTGAACAGAATTTTTAAAGATCAATCTGATTTAAATCACCATCACCACAACTAATTTACATCGATAATAAGTAGAAAATCGATCTATATGTAAATAACACAAATAAACGAAGAAGCAAAGGCCTTATATTCAGTCAAAACGGATCTTGATGTCTAATAATATTTGCGTGAATTTTACAGTTTCCAGTTTATGCCAAAATATTATTAGACTTATGCTATATAAGCTTTGATCAAATAAGACCAAATAATCTTCACTTCTTCGATTATTTTATTATAATTTATTTATATATCGTACTTAACTTTATAAGTGTACGAATCTTTTTTATAATATAAACAATGTATATTAAACAATAATGTAGCACAGAAAACATACATGTATATAGATACATTATTATGTAAATTAGTGTAAAGAAATTGTACTTGGAATCACCAACTCTGACTTATCAAAGTTTGATTGCATTTGAAAAGAAAAGAATTGAGAATAATGCGGAGTTGTGTGCAAATTGCAAAGCTCCGTATAGATAAATTAGAAAGATAAATTTGTTAGATAGTAATCATTCCTTTTCTACTCTTACGAGTTTTATAGAGTATCTGGAACGGGACACGAGACGCCAAAAGATTCCGATCGAGGAAGAGGAAATGAGAGAAGGGACAAAGAAAAGGCTCTGTGTCTGTGCATTATACCGCGTGCATCGAGCTAGCGATTAGTATGCTTTAGCGTATTAGAATCAATCCGCTGATAAAAAGTTACGAGTTGTGTAGTACGACATATTATGCACGTGCTAGAAATGGAGCACACGCTACTTTAATCGTTAGTCATATCTTATTAATCGGACGAATTATAAATCTCCATAGAGACATGTGGTCAAAGATTGTGAAACACGAGCAATTTCTCGAAATTTCGCGATCGCACAAGTATAATATTTACGTTGCGTTTAATTCAACAAATTTATTCTGTGTTAAGAAACCTTACAATAATGTTGGTTATACTCAACGTTCATCTAAAAAGGGGTGATTTCGTATCGGTTTCCGAATCCATAAAAGATGACAACAGAAAAGCAAAAATAAAATGCTAATAATAAAAAAAAAAAAATTAATTCAATAAACGTAAAAACAAAAAAACTAAAACAATACAAGTATTAAATAAACTTGAAGATTATGTTCGTATTATTAGCGCAATAACAATTTGCCATTGACAAATGCACGATTAAATTTTATACATTCTCGCGAAACGTACAATTTTTGCCAATCGTGGCAAAGTTGCATCAAATTGTCGATCGCTTTTTGCAATTCTCATCATATCTCTTCCGATGAGACGCAAAGATTCAATAGTATAAACATAGAAAAATAATCAAGAAATACGAATCAAGACAAATGCGTAGCCAAAGCTACAAGCAAGCAGGCGGTCAATCAGATGGACATGCAAACAAGCAAGCAACGAATCAAATAGATGGATGAGCAAGACGATAGTGAAAGAGAAGAGATTGTGAGGAGGCACGAAACAGAAAAGTATGGTGGATGTCACACAAACAGAAAAGAATAAGAAAGACATAGATCAATAAGGGTCTTCGTAGGTTCTTATCGAAGATGATAAATCGAAGATGATAAATCGTTCTTAATGTGTTAGCACCCAAAAGTTTTTAAATTCACCGTGTCCATCTGTCTGTTCATATGACTCTCCTGAGCATCAGAAAACTAACTAACATGTTATTATATTTCAAGAAGATAACAAGATTTCACAAAATTATTAATAACATGCAAATTACTAAAAGACGATTTCCAATGTTTTCAGTATCGTGTAATGACTGATAATATCAACGCAATGATTTTGTTTCTTTACAAGTTACAGATAAATACTAAAGTTATCTATAAATGAGAGAATTCTTATGATGAAGTCTCTTCAATTGAGACATTATGAGATAGATTGAAATAGGAGGTGAATAACGCCGCTAATCGTTTTACCCTGTGATGATTATAACGGTATGGCAACAATATTTACTTTCAGTTTATTATATAATGTCACAGTTAAAATGCGAGGTTTTTTTTTTGTTACATAAATGGCGTTAGTTACCCAAAGATTGCGAAATGTTTAAAAAAAGATTACGAAATATCGAAAGTTTGAAACGCCTCAACTTTCTAGACTTCTTCTGTCTCTTTAGATAGTAGATTTTAGAAGAAAAAAAAATCCATATTGTATCTTGTGTTTGCTGTGCGTGGATGTAGCTAGGCGGCATGCTGCTTTACTGATGCATCGTGGGATTCGAGTCACTGACAGCAGGTATATAACGGACCGGTAAATACCGGAAGAACTCGATCAACGGCGCGTACGGTACTGAAAAGGGACGCGAAGGACGACGGGATAAGAGGAAAGAAAGCAGTTACGCGAGCCGGGATGCGGACACGACGGTGCGCGAGTGGCGAGAGACTCGGACCGTAAGGCGAACAAGAAGAGAAAGAAGGTGTCCCGTGTACAATCCGAGACCGGTTTCTCGCCATGGCATGCACCATTCGCGGAGTTCCGATGCGGAACGAGAAGGAGGAAAAGGAAACGCAAGCTTTCGACGGCGCGGGTCATCCGACCGAGTTGGACAGAAGACGATGCATCTTTCGGCAATGCGCGGATGAAGGCGAAAAAAATTGGAAATGCAAAATGAATCTCAAGGAAGGCGCGCGAAACCGCGTGCTGGGAAACAAGCGTGCGAGTTTCGATGTGTATTTGAATAAAGAATAGATAGAGAGAAAAAGGATGAAAGAGTGAGAGAGGAGGGGAAGAAAGAGAGAGAGAGAGAGAGAGAGAGAGAGAGAAAGGAAGGAAATGTGTCTTGTGTTTGTTAAGTCGTATAGGGGTGAGTTTTGAGAGACCATGTTAAAGATCTTCGAAATGCTGTGCGCCATAGGTGTGTTTAGCGTGGTCCCTACCTTATCTAAACCTTCAAAAGAACTTAATGTCAATGTCGCCGGGCCTGCTCTTATGATAGGTATATATATGGGTCATCAGGGAATTACGCGAGCAGTATACCCGCTCGCAGATGACGCATCTGTACTCCTCTTGTCGTTCGGCGTGTTTGTCGGCAACGTGGCGTTTCAGGGATGCTTTGCTGCATAGTACTTTGCCGCACAGTTGGCAGGTGAACAACTTCTTCGCTGACTGGGTGTTCAGAGAGTTCAAGGTCAGCCCCGTCATAGAGGTGAGCACTGAAACACAACAACGCACCTCTCATGCAGCTGCACACCCCCACCAACACACTTAAACCCTATACCACGATCGTCAAGAATAATAATAAAAAAAAAAAAAAGAAGAAGAAGAACGGTCGCGTACGCGAATCTCGCTCGAATACCTACTCCTTTTCCTAGGATCGTGCTTGTACTTTCTCGACTGTGCTTACGTCATCTCGATCGCGTCGATCATACGATGCCCTTCTGCAGCTCGAAAACGGCAGGCGCGTCTATCTAAAGCTATATTTAAAGCTCGTATCTTCAGAGTATCGCAGAACGGTCGTCTGTTCGTGTTGCAACAACTACATATTACATAAACGTGACAAGTATAATAAATTTTTATTAAATTGTGTGAATCCTATTGTGAGTATCCCACGCTTAAATTATTGTACGCCATTAATACTTCTCTGCAAAATTTTACTTAATCTTTTTTCTCTCTGCGATAAATCATTGCAAACATCCTCGCGGCGATCTTAATCCTCTTACGTCGCGCTTGTAAAGAATTCGAACGAACGACGTGTATACGCGCGCGGATTCATTTTCTACTTAGCCATAAAGATTATTGGAGGGAAATTTTTTAATACATTAATTTCGCAAATACCGACGATCAACGCGCAACTGTGAGGAAATCAACCCTTTTCTTGCTGCTACCGATCTGCCCCTCGCCTTTTCCGTCGTCTTCTTCCTCTTCCGTCTTTTTTTCCCTACTGCTCATCACGCCTCGCGCATTAATCAATCCATTAAAAAACGAGACTCGCGTCCTTTAGAGAAGTAATTACGCGCGCTACGGTACGTCCTTGGAAACAAAAAAAGGGGAGAGGGGAAGGGGGAGGGGGGAAGAACCGGAGAGATGTGGAGGAATCGACGCACTGTTTCTCTTCGTGGGGAGCGAAGTAAGAACTCTTCTTCGGAACTGTTCGGAACTCCGATCACTGCTAATGCGGAAAGAGAGAACAAGGGACAAGAGGCGCACGCACATGCATGAAATAAAATTCATATACGTATACGCGAGTACATACGCTGGGATGAACACACGCGAGGGATGAATGCACCCCGAAACGTTTCGTACACGTGTGTGTATATATATATATATATATACCACATGTGAATGTGTGCGTGCGTGTTCATTCACGAGAGGAAATTGCGGGGAAAAGAAGGCGGATATGGCGTTATTTTTATAGAATTGGTGCGTTTTAATTTCTCTTTCAATCGAGGAATTTCGATCTCTATTGTCATTAACGTACGCGACGTACAAATCATTGCGCTCTGGTGGCTCGAGAGAGTTGCGTTATTGCGGTCGTGGACGTTCACAGTTCATATGCGCTGCACATATTTTCTCGATATGTGCTCAAAACGACGCCAGACAATCATTTATCAAATATTCGACGAACGAGAATGCATCGCATTTTTAATGCCATAATAGATTTTATTTTGC